AGTAATAGACAATACATGAACAAATGAACACAGCTGTTTTCCAATAAAATTTTATTTATGAACATAAATTTGAATTTCATGTAATATTCACATGTAATAAAATAGCATTCTTTTGACTTTGGGGGAAACCATTTAAAAATGGTTCTTAGGCCACAGGTTGTAGGCCAGATTTGGCCTATGAGCCTTAGTTTGCCAACTTTGTATTATAACATTACTCATTAAGTAACAAGTATAGTCAGTTACTAGAATTTTAGCTCCAAAGGAAAAAGAAACTTGTCTATTTTGCTCACTAACATGTGGAACACTGTGATCGATACATATTTGCTACATGAATAAATATTTCACAGGGACTGTGAAATGTGTAAAAATTATCAATATGTGGTTATCATCCATCCAAACTTATCACACATCAAGTAAGTCAATTTAACTAAGGAACAAGTATTCAGGAAATTAGCACCTAAGAACTTCAGATAATAAGATAACCTAAAAGAATCTATTAAAAAAAGAATCTATTAAATAATTAGACATATACATTAAGCATCTGCCTTCAGCTCAGGTCATGATCCCAGGGTCCCAGGTTCGAGCCCCCTATCGGGCTCCCTGCTCAGCAGCAGGCCTGCTTCTCCCTCTCCCACTCCCCCTGCTTGTGTTCCCTCTCTCGCTGTCTCTCTGTCAAATAAATAAATAAAATCTTTAAAAAACAATAGACATGTAAAATGTACATTAAAGACATTTAAATTCTTAAAAATAAAATGGATATTGAAACAATAAGAACTAGACACTAGGGAAAAAACAAAATTTTGAAAGAGAACCCATAGAAGTTCTACAAATGATAAATGCCTTTTTTTTTTTTTTTTTAAAGGGCACCTGGGTGGCTCAGTCAGTTAAGTGTCTGACTCTTGATCTCCGCTCAGGTCTTAATCTCAGAGTCATGAGTTTAAGCCCCATGTTGGACTCCAGGCTGGATGTGGAGCCTATTTAAAAAAATAATTAAAATTTTTTTAAAAAGAAAAAAAGATGAAGGCCACAGAAATATTAAATAGCAGATTAGACAAAGATAAAGTTAAAACTTAGTGAATTAGAAGACAGAGCTGAGGAATTACCTAGAATATGGTATAGGGATGATTTTGTTCTTTGCCCTTTATCCTTTTTTTTTTTTTTTAAGATTTTTTATTTTTAAGAGAGAGAGAGCACAAGTGGGGTGAGGGTCAGAGGGAGAAGCAGACTCCCCACCGAGCAGGGAGCCCGATGCGGGACTCGATCCCGGGACTCCGGGATCACGACCCGAACTGAAGGCAAACACTCAACAACTGAGCCACCTAGGCACCCCCCCCTTTTTTCCTTTTGTATATAAAATACAGGTTAAAGGGCATGAAAAAAATGATGATATTATTATTAATTCTAATAAAAATTCCAGAAGGAATAATGTGGAAAGGTAATATCCACAGATAAAATGATGAAAATTTTTCCATAACTAATGAAAGACATGTATCCCTTACCTAAAGAGGCACAATGAAATGCAGAAGCAAACAGTTTTGTTTTTTTTTTAAGATTTTATTTATTTATTTAACACACAGAGAGAGAGAGAGAGCACAAGCAGGGGGAGTGGCAGGCAGAGGGAGAGGGAGAAGCAGTCTCCCCCCTGAACAGGGAGCCCAATGCGGGGCTTGGTCCCAGGACCCTGGGATCATGATCTGCGCCGAAGGCAGTCGCTTAACCAACTGAGCCACCCAGGCGACCCTAGGCATGGACAGTTTTAAGCAAATCAATTCCTAAATCCTCAATCTCCATTTTTACACTTTCTTAAAATTCATTTACTTTAAAACCCATCTGTAGAAAAGGCATCATACAATATCTCCTTTCCCAATAGACCTTTATCTGTTCTACAAAAGAAAGACATAATTCTCACCTATTGCATTAGAATCTAAAAACCGCCTAAAAGGAACAACTGGAAATACTGGAATCTCTTCTAACACAAAAAATAGTAGTAGTCTTCATATCTTTCCCTGTTTTATAAATATTTCTGTTAAAATATACATATTTCTAACTATGGGATAGAAACTGGATATTCTAGACCAAGGTTATTAGATTTCCTTAATTTAACTGCAAAGTCGAAAGCAAAAGTGATAAAAATTTGCACTTACTGCCTTTGTATATTCTATTCCAATTATAATCAAGAAAAGCACTGCCCCAAGGAGAAAATCAAGTGAGAAGAACTCAAAGAAAGCCTAAGTTTTTAAAACAAGACTGAAATCTGCTGTGCCTTATTACAACCAAGTAACAAACTCAGGTCAAAACCAAGGCTGTCTTTTTCTACCTTAGAATTCTGAAGTGAAATGAAATGGTTGTCATGAAGATACAAATTCACATGTTTACTTGAAGTGAAAAATGAAAATAGACACTTACAGATAAATAGTATCTCTAATTTAATTGACTGGCAGGACTATATGGACTGGCCTTGTCAAATAAATTATATATAGATATCTCCCATAGAACAAATGAACAAAATATGCAGTTCCAACGTTTAAAAAAAATACACAAAACAAAAACTATAAAATATTTCACAAAAAAATATCGTATTATTAAAGGCATCCAGTAGTTAACAAGATTTCAATTTTTTAAATTATTTCTCAGAGTATCTAGTTAAAAAAAAGGAATCTAAAAGTAGCAAGTATAATTATTAAGTCTGATAAAGGCTTTTTAATATACTTTCCCCCAATTCAGAAGGGCAATGACTCTAATGACTGGATCACAAATAATTTTTAACTTTTAAATATTGTATTGCTATGTGATTTTTGACATTTAATTCAAAAGGAAAGAACTGAAGGATAATGCTATAGCAAAACTCTATCCTTATCTATTTATTATATGACCAAGATTTCTCAGCATTTATAAAAAAAAGTTTAAAAAGAAAACTGCCAGGTGCCTGAGTAGTACAGCTGGTCAAGCGTCCAACTCTTGGTTTTGGCTTAGGTCATGATCTCAGGGTTGTGACATCAAGCCCCGGGCTCTGCGAGGAGTCTGCATAAGACTCTCCCTTTGCCAGCCGCCCATGCTTGCTCGCACATGCATACTCTCTCTAAAATAAATAAATCTTAAAAAAAAAATTGCTACTGAAAGTTTTATTCTAGTAATAAATAATATTTGTTCATGGATATGTGAACCAAATGAATAAAGAAGGAAAACATCAGCACCACCCATTTTAAGAAATACATTTCCAATATAATTTTACATAATAAGTTTAATAACTACAAATATCTGTAACATGTTTTTGGATTAAATGTTTAATTATAAGAATAACTCAATCCAGTAAAAAGAAAAACTTAGAACCCTGTAGTGACAGTTATTTAATGTTAAATTTCAATAAATGTGTATCTATTAGTGTGACAGAGTAATTAAAAGACTTTCAATTGCATAAAAAGACATCATATGAAGTTAAAATACATATACAAAAAATACATATATGAAACTAAAATTCTATGGGAAAATTGAACAGAAATATGAATTTAAGGAGAAACAGGCACAATATAAAATTTCCAAATGTCAGAGAGGAGATGGTACATGTATTTTTAAAACAGATGATGCTGAGTATCAAATCGAATTATCTTTAGAGATCACTAGATAGACATAAATATCATTTAAGTTTTATTTTAAAATATCAACACTTACATCCTTAAAAATGTATAAGGCATATATATTATTCTAATTTAAGGGCATCTTCAAGAAAAAAAAACACATAAATTGAAAACCAATGTCAGAGAAGTTAGTAAATAAAAATGCCTTTTATTTTTCCCTGCAAAGTACACTATATTTCTGCCCGCTTGAAGAACACCTAAACAGCACTCTAAGCAATCAAGATGTTAAAATAAAAGCTAAAGAAAACTGCAATATGAAAAACCTTATAGTTTTTCAATGTAACTTTATAAACGAAAACTTTGAAGTACTAAGAGAAAAACTTCAAATTCTACAAATTCCCTTAGTTACAACAAAATAGAGATGTTGTGGAAGAACCCCCCCCCTCCACAAAGATGGGGGGAGAGGAATTAGAAGACCCTAAAGTATTATTCAACTGTAAGTATAGGAAATATGTGAAGAGGGTGCTATGTCAGATAGGAAAAATTCAAGTCTGACCACATACTTCCCAAGATGACAAAGAAACAGGAACTCTCATATACTATTAGTGGGAATGGCAAATGCTAATTCCTATGAATGAGGCATTTAGCAATAACTAGCAAAATTACACATAAATTTACCCTCTGAAACGGCAACTGCAATTCTAGGAATCTATTCCACAAATATACTGTAAAGGTATGAAAAAACATAAGCATGAGGCTTTATTTATTTATTTAGCATAAGGCTTTATTAAAGCACTGCTTACAATAACAAAAGACTGGGAAAGACCTCTGCTCATCACTAGGGAACCATCTAAATATCTACTGTTCATCCAGTCACTGGAGTACTATGTAACAATAAAGGAGATAATAAAGATTTCTAAGTACTTTGCTAGTGGAGTGATCCACAGACCATACTGTTAAGTAAAACAATCAAGATACCAAACAGTGTGGATAATTTCTCTGAGAAGGGTTGTATATTCTATTAAAAATGAAAGAAAAGAACAATGAAAGGCTAAACCATGTAATTTTTTAAAAAAAGGTAGTTTATTAGCAGTGAAAGAGAACAAGGTAAAAGAATAAGGGTGCTTTTAATGGACTCTTATGGATGGTCTCTAAGATACATTAATTTCAAAAAGATTAAAAATCGTGTACAGTATGCTATTAATTGTGTTAATATAAGAGGGTAGGGCAGAATATATATACTTTCTTTGTAATGCATAAAATCTCTGATGGAATAAACAAGATACTGGGAACACCACTAGCCTCTGGTGTGGAAGTGGGTGGTTGGGAATTTCAATTAAAAAATATAAAAATCCTCTTGAAGTATTAGTTTTTAGTATTTAACCTAAAAAATTTACCCAAAAAAGTCAGAAAAACAACACTTGCCTTTTTTCCTTTTGAGGTCTCGGAATCCTCATCTTCATCTACACTGAGTAGATTTGCCTCACTACATAGAAAATAAAGGGGGAAAAAAATCTTAAGTGACAATTACAACCCATACATTAAATTCAGAAGTTTTATTCTTTCTGCTTACCCAATTCAGGGATCAGCAAACTTTTTCTATAAAGGGTAAATTAGGCTTTGTAGGCTATACAGTCTCTATACCAACTACTCTACTATTTTAGTATGAAAGCAGCCATGGATTGTAAGTGTGGCTGTATTCCAACAAAACTATTAACAAAATCCAATGGTGGGACAGATTGGGCCCATGGACCTATTGTTTGTTGACCCCTGCTATAAACAAACATGTAATTTTTGTTTCCTTAACTGCAGATTTCATATATAGTTACTCATTTTTCCTTTCTGTCTTAGATTTAAAATTAGGGGATAAGAACAGAGAAACAAAATAGAGAAAAAACTGGTAAGAATACTTTAGCTGATGTAAAAAAAAAAAAAAAAAAGTAATTCCAATAGTGTTACCACAGTAAAATAGTTACACCTCTGCAACTCTTAGAAATATCAACACTAGAATGATTGGCCTAAGACTCTAAAAGATCAGACTGATATATCTATTAATAGTTTATGTTAATCTCAAGATATTAAAAAAGCTGAAGCTCCTAAGGATCCTCTTATAATGATGAGCCAAAGAGTGTAATTCATAAATGAAATACACAGAACAGGTAACGCTTTAAAATGCAGATTTTTTTACATAATTATGACAAATCTAATAAAGAAAGTCAAAATACATTCTTCTAAAAACAACTCTGCAGAGCTATTTTTAGTAAAATCCTAGCTATTTATAATAAAAATATAAAATGTTTGTTCCATTATTGTTTATACACATCCCAACTTTTTTAATACTAAAAATTCTCTCCTTCCAAACATTTTACAAAAATGTTTAAAAGGTGACATGCTTTCTACTCAATTTCAGATTTAATTCCAATTTTTCAAACTATATAAATACTGTCTGTAATAAAAAATTATTTTAAATTTAAAAATAGAAATAAAAAAAGAAATAAGAGAAAGACAACCATAAAATACCAATTTTAGCTGAGAAACTTACCAGTTCAAAGCTCTCCTTCAAATAAAAGTTCACTTCAATTCAATATCTCATAGATGAAGGCACATAAAAGTGGTAATGATGAACGAAGCTGTTCCCCAGACAGAAGTGAAGTTCCCACAATATTCAGTCAATATACTCTGAATGACTTCTTGTGTAAAAAATTTTAAAAAATACTTATAGTTTTGGTAGAACTGTATGTATTTATATATAATGTGCATATTATATATACATATATATTTGTGTATCTCTGAATTAGTGCTACCCAGTGGAAAACCAGATCAATAAATCAAGGCACCTAATAGCAATGGTGAATTTGCAATACAAATTTCATGATATGCAAAAGGTTCTATTAAAACGATCATTTAAATTTTACAAAGCAGACATTTCAAGTACACTAACAAAGTGTAATGAATACTTTGTTTAACTTCTGTCTGGATCAACATCTGTGTTTATCATTTAAATTGTTTCTGCTCTCTCTGGTGGTAATGTAATCTAAGATGGATGGGACAACTGTGAAGAAAGATACTACAGGACTTAAACTTTCACACAAAACTCAGGAGCTTTAATCTGGGTTCACTTACTCATGATAAATGGTAGCTTTTCAAATCACTGCCTGAACAGAATGTCATTAAAAAAAAAAAAAAGCCCAATTTCTTTAATTGAAAATCAAGTCAATTTTTAATTGTAAGATTATATGTATCACATGCACATATTTACACATTTCAAAACATGGAGAAACATAACAGCAAAATTATTTAATGAAAAACTGCATTTTTTCCCTTGATGCTACTGTAATAGACAATTTTTTTTAAGTAAAAAATACCATACTCTTAAAAATACTTCCATAGTATATAAATCATTTTTTAATGAAATGTCATTCTTACAAAATATCTGAGGGGGAAGAAAAAGTTCTTACTCTTTATCTGTATCTCCTTCACTTTCGTCTCCATGATCAAAGCTCCAATTATTTTTAAAACCTCCATCTCTCTTAGATTCTGATCTAGCCAAAGCTGAAATAAAAACAAACTGAGATAAGTATTCAATAGAGCTATTCAATATAAAATAAAATTAAGCATTTCCTAAGCTCTTTGGTTAGTCTAAATTTTCTTAATTTTCTTGCTTTTTGACTATTTCTTATAAATATCTTATTTCCCCTAAAATAAAAAAGAACACATTAAAATGTTTTTACTAATTTACAGTTGTCCATATGCATGAATGTGTTACCAAGAAGAAGCCCAAACTAGTAAGATACAGTAAAAATGGGGTGAAGCATATGATTATGTATGAAGTATATAAAAATCAATCCAATATCTCCATATTTAATCACTGATCCTAGAAATTAGTACGTGTTAGTTAGCTTGCCCTATTTATGAGAAGTATATCCAGACCACTAGTCTTTTCTTTACTTCAGTCAATCATCTCTGCCTTTGAAAAGAAGAGAAACTAGGTTTTCGGCATTGACAATATGGTGAACTTCATGTCCCCGCAAACTCTCTAGATCAGAACACCAAACATTCTCACAGTAAGTTTAAAAAAATTTTTAAGTGCACGGCTGAAACCCCCTGAAGCCATAAACAACTAGGAAGTGTGAACTCAGAGAGATAAATGAAGTTCTGAAGCTGGCATTTGTCTTGGAGTCATATGATACAAACTTGATGTCCTACAACTGAGGCTTTAAAATCAAGTTTGGGATGCCAGCAAGATGAGAGGTCAGACTGAAGACCGGAAGACCTGAAGGGCAAACTTCCAACTAGGTGAACAAGGGGGAAAAAAAAAACCTGAAAAACAGCAGAAATAATTATGACTTGTCTTTGTTCTGGATTTTGGGGTTGATATTTACCCCATCGTTAAAGAATTCCTAACCATAAGCTCATAATTACTCAGGTTTGGGCCCAGAAAAGCCTATAATTAAAAGAGTCTCACAAGAAAAGATGCTGAATATCACTAAACGTTAGGGAAATGCAAATTAAAACTATTATGAGACTCTACTTCCCACCCATTAGAATGGCCATTATTTTTTTTAAAACATTAAATAATAAGTATTGGTAGGGATGTGGAGAAACAACTTCTATGCATTGCTGGTGGGAATGTAAAATGGTGCAGCTAACATGGAAAGTATGGCAGTTTCTCAAAAAGTTAAACATAGAATTTACCCTATGATCCAGAGGTCCCACTTCTAGGTATATACCCCAAATAACTGAGAGCATGGACTCTGATACTTGTACACCAACGCTCATAGTAGCATTAAAAATAGCCAAAGGTAAAAACAACCCAAATGTCCATCAAAAGACGCATTAATAAATAAAATGTACTGTATGCATGTACATGTACACACACACACACACAGGAATATTATTCAGCCATAAAGGAATGAAATTCTGATACATGCTACAAGGATGAACCTTGAAAACATTACAATGAGTTAAATAAACTAGACATAATAAATACTATATGACTCCACATAAATGAGGTATTTAGGATGGGCAAACTCAGAGGCAGAAAGTAGGATAGAAGTTAACATGGGCTAAAGAAAGAGAAGAAAGTTATTTCTTAATTGGTACACAGTTTTTGTTTGGGTTGATGCAAAAGTTCTGGAAACGGGTAGTGGTGATAGTTTACAACATTATTGAAGTACTTAATGACAATTAAAATTGTACACTTAAAAATAGTTAAAATTGAAAATTTTATGTATATTTTGTCACAATAAAAAGCTATTTTTGAAGGGAAAAAAAAAAGCCTCTCCATGACTAACAGAATCAAATATAAATCCTCTCTAAAAAAATATAAAATTTCAATCAAGCCTCAGAAAGTTTCAAAGAATATGAGTTTACAAACATAAATATCATGAAATAGGAAGGAACAAATCACCATGAGCAAATCTGAAACTTCTTTACATGCATACTGGGATGGGACAAATAATAAATAGTATATAATAGAAGCAAGGTTTCTCCCTGTCAGAGAAAGAGATTACAAATAAGCAACAGAAGAAAACTACAATGAACTCTATTCATTCTACTGGTACTAGACTAAGAGTTATCAGTATGAACTCACAGTTCTTTGATATACATACAGATAGATAAAAGGAACATATACAGGTATGTCTTGTACCATGGGTTAGTAGTATATAGAACTAAGGCTTTGTCCTCTGAGAGGATCTAGAAAACAGTGACACTCCAATGGCAACAAGCACACTCACAACCAGATCTTGATTTCTAAATACCATTCTCTAATAAAAGGAGCTGGGGCTCCTAGAAGAAATAACTAACTGTAGGGATGGGGCAGAGAAAATACAAGATTAGTCCAGAGTATTTTGTATGCCAGAAAATAAGAAGGTCCAGTTTTTTAAAAGATGGGGTAATGTCAAAAAGGTTTCAGGAACCAAATTGAACCTCCCAATAGTTGAACAAAGGTGAAACAATTTTAGCAAAAATAAACAACAGTACTGGATTATAACCCTCAAAATAAAAGAAATATTCAGAAATCCATACTGACATAAATGACTGAATAAATAAATATATGGGGAGAAAAGACCTATCTTCCTTTTTTTTTTTTTTTTTTTTAAGATTTTACTTATTTGAGAGAGAGAGAGAGAAAAAACAAGCAGCAGAGAGGAGCAGACTCCCCACCAAGCAGGGAGCCCAATGTGGGGCTTGATCCCAGGACCCTGAGATCATGACCTGAGCCAAAGGCAGACACTTAATGACTAAGCCACCCAGGTACCCCAAGACCTATCTTCCTTAAAAAAGAATTCCAAGTGATAGATGCACAAACTCTTCCCCGTAAAATGTGAAACTTAATTCCCCTTCCCTTTAGTATACACTGGACTTAGTAACTTCCAAGAACTGACTACAGAAAGGGGAAAAAAGTAAATTGACAGTGAAAAATGTGACAATCACTCCCTCGGCCGTGATTAAGGTTAACATCAAAAGTGATGTCTTATTCATAGGATATACTGTTTAATATGATGTGATGAAAATGCCACTTCAGCTCTGTGGTCTTCTTCCCAAAAACTCATAATGCCAGCTTAATCATGAGAAAACATCAGATAAACTCAAACTGAAAGACAGTCTATGAAATACCTGACTAGTATGCTTTTAAAACCATCAAGGTTATGAAAAACAAAGAAAGATTAAGAAACCGTACACATCAGAGGAGACTAAGGAGATGTAACAACCAAATGCAGTGTGGTATCCTGGACTGGACCCTGGAATTAAAAAAAGGACAGTGAAACAACTAGGGAAATCCAAATAAAGTCTGTAGTTTAGGTAACAGTATTATACTCATGTTAATTTCCAAGTTTTGGACAAACATACTATGATCATATAAGGTGCCAACACTATGGAAAGATGCATAAATGGTATACAGAAACTCTGTATAACATCTTTGAAACTTCTCTACAAATTTAAAAATTATTCCCCAAAAAGAACTTTAAAAAATCAAATGTAAAATGAACCCGTTTTTTAAAACAGATGGTTAGGGGGTGCCTGGGTGACTCAGTCAGTTAAGTGTCTGCCTTGGCTCACGTCATGATCTTGGGGATCTGGGATAGTACTCCAGGTCAGGCTCCCTGCTCAGCAGGGAGTTTGCTTCTCCCTCTCCCTCTGCCCCTACCCCTCACCCTTGCTCATGTACGTGCAAGTGAGTGCATGCTCTCTCTCTCAAATTAAATAAATAAATAAATAAATAAATAAATAAATAAATAAATAAATAAAATCTTTTTAAAAAATAAAAAAAAGATGGTTAGGTGAAAGTTACCCTATCAAGACAGAAAAGGTAATAAACTATAATGATTACTAGCTTAATAAAGACTCATAATCCAGCAACTAGTATCCATCAAATGAGTCAGGCAAGTTAATCAAAAAAGCCACTATGCAGCAAAAAGTCAAGAAATGTTTATTACTTACACACTGAAGGAACTAGGGTTCTATACACACAATTCTAACAAATCTAGTCATATGATTTCCTAATTGACAGCAGATTAGAACATACAAATGAATAAATGAGAGAATAACCTCATGAAAATGATTATTGTCAATAAGAAAATAAATTATAAAACGCAAACACATTTTAAAAACATGAGTTTAGGGCAACTTGGAGTAGGAACAAAAACTTAAATCCTCAAAAGTCTTTGAGAGTATTATCACATTTCAGTATCCTGCTATGGTTGACATTAGAAATAATGAGAGTGGAAAATTATGTCCACTATACTCCATTTATGAAACTGAGTGGAAGGAGAGATAAAGGTTGAAGACAGATCCCAGTTAAGTATCACAAATTAAATACATGCATTTTTCTCCATACCCTTCATTAAAATGACAGAAATGGAAGGAGGGGAGAGAAAGTAGAAACGCTTAAGAACAAAAAGAAAACCAGAAAGGAGATAATGGTAAATGAGAGATATAATTAAATTGATGAAAGATTAAAATTTGATGGATGGGGAGGAACTGACTTAGTTGACCAGAGAAAGCAAACCTAAATACCTACAAGGGCACAAATATTACCAAACTGACACGACAAGATTTGAACATTGCTGCATCAATAAAAGAAACTGAACTATTACAAATCTTTCCATAATGAAATATTCAGAAAAGGATATTTCCTTAAAAACAATAAAACAAAAAAACCCAGGTTATTTTGATTTCATGGGAAGTAATTTAGTTCTCTGTTGTTGTTGTTGCTTTTAAGTAAACTCTACCCCCAACATGGGACTCAAAATCATGACCCCAAGATCAAGAATCACACGCTCTAACAACTGAGCCAGCCAGGCACCCCTCTAGTAAATTCTTTCAATCTTCTAAGAAATAGCAACAAATTTATTCTCCCAGAACATAAAAGAAAAAGAAACATCCTACAGTTCATTTTGCAAAGTGAGAATACCTAATTCCAAACCTGACTATGACATTCAAGGAAGGAAAATTACCACTCTCTCATGGAGACAGATATAAAACCCTATATAAAATATTAGCGGGGCGCCTGGGTGGCTCAGTCTTTAAGTGTCTGCCTTTGGCTC